CACCAGATAGTGTAGCCGCCATCTGAGCCTCCCAGGAAGAAGTTTCCCTTCCGTTGCGTCACCAAGACGTTGGCTCCCTGCATTACGGCCAGCTGGGCGGCGTTGGGGGGACAGCCAGGAGGGGGGGGCTGGAAGACAGAGAAAGGAGAGGCGGGAGGATAGCTGAGGTCAATGCCACGACGGGAGCTGGCACAAAGCCACCGTGCAGGGACCCAGACACCTCACAGTCGATGTCCCTGTCACTTGCTGCCGAGCCAAGACTGAGTGACAGAGTGCAGGCACCGACGTGTTTTGCTGCCGAGCAAAGACTGATTGACAGAGTCCAGGAGCCGATGGGAAACGCTCGGTTCCTCGTCCGTGCCCTGCCCTTTCTTTTCGGAGCCCATACGGCTGACCCTGGCTTTTTGCCCACACAGAGGAGCCTGTGAGCTGTGGAACAAGATCTTCCCGTGGCTGCGAGCCACGGGTGGAAAGTCCAGGGGAGCAGGAACCTCCCACACCTCCACCGTAGCATGGAAAGAGGCCAAGTCTGCCTTTGGGGCCAGGGAAAGTCAGGTCGCAAAGCAGCCCTACTGGCTTGCCCCCCCCGAAGCGCATGACACCACGGCCCTAGGCCGAATCGGGGCTAGCACTGGCCACGCAATGGTTTTGCGAACCAGAACCACCTGTGAGCCTCTGTGGCTCCAGAGCCACAGTTTGGCCAGAGACAGCAAACCCTCAGCACGAAAATAGCAGCCTACCCTTCTCCCAAATGATGGATGGGGCAAGAAGTAAGTTTTTCTCAGAAAACAAAGGACATCTTCTCCCCCACCATCATCTGCGAACCTCTAACGCTGAAGCACGCAGGGTTTTGAGGATACATTTATACTTACAGGGATGCTGGCTGTTCCACCAGCCCCAAACCTTGCTCCACCATCAAAGCCACCTTCAACAAGGACTGTCGAGCCCGGAGGATAAACCGGTCCCACGGGGTAATACGCCATCGGGGGGGGGTGGGGGGGGGGGGGAGCCGATCGGACCCACGGCCACAGACTGGGCCATGGGCAGGAAGACGGAAGCGCCCGGATACGCCGCAGACATTGTAGGTACGGTGGCAGCCCCCAGAGGCACGAAGCTGGGACGGTAAAGCTGGGAAAAAAAAAGCCGTGCAAGCGAGTTTAGAGACTTGTTATTCCCCACAGCCGGTTGTTTATTCAGCCCTGCTGCCAAAGCACGAGCCCCGACGTAGACTTTCACCCTCCTGCTTGCACAGGCAAATCCCCTTCCCTGAGCGTTTACTTTGGGGTACGGTAAAAGGACATTTTTCCCACTGTCAGAGACAGTTTTCCCCCACTGCCCGCAAGAATCCAACACAGAGATATTATCGTAGATGTGTTTTACAGCTACAGGTGAGCTAAATTTGTCATCTTAACTCAAGGGGAAGCTTTGAACATCCGTCACTTTGACCGACCGCTGCCCAGTGATACGAGCAGCAAACGAGTCCTCCGGGCAAAAAAAAATACTG